TGGATTTCGGTGGCTTTTCCCCGTGTGCTCCTGCCCCAGCCCTCGGTCGCGAGTCATAAATGAGCCCTTGTGCTTCTGGGCAAAGTGTTTCCGAGCAGGGCAGGGGTGCCAGGCTGTGCCGGGCGCTGCCATGGGCCTCGCCTGGACCTGGGGCTTTGGCCAGAGCCGGGACTTTCCAGGGCTGGTCAATCTAATGATCCAGCCTGCGACGGACATAGCGTGGAGACACAAGTTGTCCAGGTTTTTAAAGGCTAGGAGGGGGGAGCGGCACCGTCTGATGCGGCACGGCCGGGAAGGAGGTGTGCAGATGCTGTTTTATGCTCCTTATCGCTCCTCTAAGCCAGCCAGCAGAGCGGAGGCAGCCAGGAATCCGGTCACACTACAGCCGGGCCCCTTGTCCCGCCAGCCTGCTTCCCTTGACCCCAGGACACCCTCCCTCCGGTGCTCCCTCACCCGCTGGGGCGGGCTGGCGGCTCTGTGCCAAGAAGGTGACTGGTATCAGAGATGTTTCCACCTGCTTTGTGTAATCCCCAGGGCGCTTGCTGCTGGGGGAAGGAGTGGGCAGGGTTCAGCTCAGACAGGGGTCACCCAGGGAAAGGGTTGGCTAACCGTCTTCTGCTGTGGTTTAGATCAATCAGCGCATCTGCACCAGTTCCCTTTCCCCTTCCTTCCCCCCTGGGAGCAGGGCGAAGCGGATGTTGTTGCGGACACGTCATGGCTGTGCCCAGATCTGGGGCAAGGGAGGTTTTGAGAAACCTCCTCTTGCTCCACAGGGGTTGCGTGGATGTCCTGGGTCGTCTGCTTTGAACTCTGCACGCAGCTGCGCAGCGCTGGCCCTCGTGGCGTGACGACTCTTTCCTTTGGAAATCTTCTCTTGGGGTGGCTCCTGCTCCAGGCTGTGTCCGAGCGTGGTGCTCGGATGGTGTACGGAGCAGCAGGACCCGGGCTGGCACCGCTGAAGGAACGGTCACAAAAGCCGCTTGCTGTCAGTTAACTCCAGAGCAAGAGAAGGAGGTGACGCCAGATGGGAGCAGGAAAGCGTGATGGTTGAGCAGGGAACGTCCTGTGAGAGATCAGGGCCATAAATCACTGCTAGGGGAGCCGGGGCTATCTGGGATCCGTTCCCACCCTGCCGCTGCTTGTCACTGGAAGGAGAATGAGTTCTTTCCCTCCTCTGTGTCTTGGTTTCACCTTTCTCCTTTGGGAACAGCTTTGAGATCTGCTGATAAAGTGCTTGATAAGAGCTATGGAGGCTAAAATGTGTGTGCGTCAAGGTCTGGTCCAAGGGTTGTTGTGAGCAGCATTTAATTCCCTGGTGGAGGTGGCGTTCAGACTGCCCATGGTCAAGGTGAGGCTGTTTTCCAGCTGACCTGGACAAGAAGGAGCATTGATCCAGCATGCTCTCTTCTTTCCTTTCTAAATATAGCAGAAGAATGGCATCTAGCCTTACCCAGGTGCGGTTGGGTTACTGTCGCACGAGGAGCGGGGCAGTTGGCCGCAGCCCCGCTGCAAGTCTGTCCTCTTTGTGCGCGCTCATTGACAGGCTCCTTCCAGCTTCTCTGGGGGGCTCAGGATGGAGCCCCAGAGCCACCAGTCAGGGCAGCGGCAGGCACAGCACGAACCTCCAGGCAGAGAGAGCCGCTCGTCCCATCGCAGCAGTCACAGCCACCGCTCCTGGGTGGCTGTGGCCCTCAGTTGTAGCCCTGGCCCCAGCAGCAGTTTTTCCCCGAGTCTTGCCTATCCCCTATGCTGCAGTCAATGGTTTCCCAACCACGGGAGCATCCCCAGAGCAGGACCCCATTGCTGGCTGGATTTTCACAGCCCACAGCTGTGACCAGGCTGTGCCGTAGGGATGTGCCTGCACCTGTAGATAACTTCCTTGGGATTGGGGATGGACATCCCCAGCAGCTGCTTCTGCCCCCATGGAAGCAGGGATGGCTGCAGGCTGTCCCCAAACACCCTTGGTCTTCTGCAACCACCTCTTGTCTTACCCAGCTGCTGTGCAGGTGAAGTTAGAGACAGTTTTTAACAGATGCATCAACAGATGCACCCACAAAGGAGCCAAGGAGAGGGATGGCTGGGCAGGCAGCTGTAATGTGTGCTGGTCTTTCCTTCCCAGGATAATCACAAGCTGTACAAGCAGAAACTTGAGGAGCTAACCAAGCTCCAGGACGGGATCTCCAGCTCCATCGCACGGCAGAAGAAGCGGCTGAAGGAGCTGTCGTTGTCCCTTAAAAAGTAAGTTGGTGTCCTGCGACAGCACGGGCCAGGCTGGCTGGGGAGAGCAGCAAGGATGGGGCTGTTGAACTCCTCTCACGGCTCTTCTCCAATACAAACCTGACTGCAGCCTCATTAATGGCAAAGTGCTGTGAAGATCTGGACTCCCCCAGGCAGATCTTCTTCAGCTTCCCTTTCCTCTGCCCCGATTTGTGCCTTGTTTGCAGTTCAGAGCTTGCAAGGGCTTTGCAGGCAACTTGAACTGTCCCCCTCCCACACAAAGCTCTCTACATCCTTCCTCCAGGGTGAGGAGACCCATGTGGTCTCACCTCACTCTCATTCCTCCTTCCTTTTCTTGAGCAACATCTCACCCCGACAGAGGAGCTCACCGTGCAGATGGAGTCGTGGACTTGCCTCCAGTCCATCTTCCCTGTCCTTGGGGTGTCCTTGTCTGAGACACGGTCCTGTATCAGGTGCCACACCTGTGTTTCCTCCCCAGATGCAAAGCCCATGTGAGCCCCGAACAGCAGGAGTCCATCCAAGAGACCCAGAGCCTCATAAAAGAGAGGCAGAACGTTTTCTTTGAGATGGAGGCCTATCTGCCAAAGAAGAACGGGTAAGAGGCGCCTCATCTCTGGGTGAAACACCACGTCCTCCCTCCACGTCCCTGCGGCCCTAACGCTGCAAGGCACAAACCTTCTGTCACCCTGCTCCCGCAGTGTCACAGCCGTGCTGCTCCGCTTGGGCTCCCCGCAGGACACCTGGGCAGGTGCCAGGCTGAGCTCTGCAGCGCTGCCCTCATCCCCCCTCGCTCCTCTGCCTGCTTGTGGCCTTCACCTGCCCTTGAACGGCAGCCATGTATGGGGGGGGAGCCCCGGCAAACACCCCGGGTGCCCACGGGAGGTGGGGGGTGTGCTTGGCCGCCCAACCCCCTGCCCTTGGGAGGAGATGCCAGAGCGTTTGTGCCAGTCACACCTCCTGGCAGCTCCGAGTGGAAAACAGCTGGGGGCTCGTTCCTGGCCCCGCGGGAACTGCCAGCTCCCGGGCAGGCACCCGTCCTAACGCCTCTGCTCTCTCCCCAGGTTGTATCTGAGTCTGGTGCTCGGGAATGTGAACGTCACGCTGCTCAGCAAGCAGGCCAAGTACGGTTCTCTCCTCACTGCTGCCCTGTGCTTTGCCGGGCTTGGGATCCCAGGAAACAACAACAGCTCCCGGGCTGAGCCGCTGCACGTGCAAACACGTGGCTGGCTTGACCAGCCTGGTGCAGGTTCCCTTCCTGGGCTGTCCCCTGCTTCCTTTCCCAGAATCGGCTGACTCCTCGACTCCCCCTTATGCTCTGCCACCGAGCTGGGATGGACCGTTAGCTCTGAGAAACCAAATAGGATCCTCCACCGAAGCCGTGTCTGGGTGTCCCCTGTGTTAGGAACTTCCAGGAGAGACAGACTCGTGCAGCTGCTGGCAAGCCCCCTGCTCTTCCCTTGGGGAAATGCTAACGGCCAGTTTTGGCCCACGAGAGCCCCCCCATGCTGGGACACTAATGCCAGAGGTGCCCAGCCAGACAGCCCGTGTCCCCCTGCCTCTGTTCCCTGGGCCTCCCCTTGGAGAGCTGCACAGACCCCAGTCTGCCCAGCTTTCCTGGAGTCCTCTGGGCCACCTGCCAGGCTGGTGTGGTTTGGGGTGTCTTCAAGGTGTCTAACCTGTGTGAAAGCAGCCTGGTGTGCTCTTTCAGAAATACCCAAGAGATGAGGTTTTTCCTGAGCACGTCCCAGAGGTTCCCAATGGAACATCACTTTTGTCCAGCCAGGTGGGACGGGAGGACACAGACTTCAGCAGCCATCTTGCTCTAAGCCCGTCCTTGTGCTTCCCTGCAGGTTTGCCTATAAAGATGAGTATGAAAAGTTCAAGCTCTACCTCACCATCATCTTACTCATTGTTTCCTTCTCCTGTCGGTTCCTTCTCAACTCCAGGTGAGTCTGACTTGGATGCTGGGCAGAGATCTCCTTCCAGGGCCTCTGTGTCCTCCTCTTCTACCCGGGAAGGTCCAGAGCTGAACAGGAGATCCTGACAAAGGATCTGGCCACTGCCCTGGAGGTGGGGTGGCTTCTGTGGCTGCTGCAGTCTTGCTTAGCTGAACAGGAGATCCTGACAAAGGATCTGGCCACTGCCCTGGAGGTGGGGTGGCTTCTGGGGGGGGGGGGGGAGCATCCTGCAGCGATGGCTGTCTCGGGGCCTGTGCCCCCAACGCATGGGTGCTGCCACCTTTATACCCTGCTTTGTTTGATACCAGGGTGACAGATGCCGTCTTTAACTTCCTCCTGGTGTGGTACTACTGCACCCTCACCATCCGGGAGAGCATCTTGATCAACAACGGATCCAAGTGAGTCCCCTTGGGCTTGGGGAGGGGGGCATGCAGCAAGTTGGTCCTTCTCTGCAAGGCCGGGGAGTTGAGACCCACCATGTAGCTCCGCGCTTCCCAAGGGAGCAGCTCCCTCCTACTCAGGGTGTGTAGCAAACCCTGCTAATGAGCTGTGCGGAGCGGGAGGAACTCCCTGTGCGGAGGTGGTGCGGGAAGGTGGAGCAGCAGTTGGAAGGGCCCCGGGTGCTGCCTGGACCGGAGGTGCTGGGTCCTGCTCCACACACGGCCGTTTCATAACCAGCCCCGCTCCTGCCTTGCCCTGAGAGCTGGAGGGCGGCTGGCGCTGGGCTGGCTCTGCTCTCCTGGCATGCGCTTGGGTCTCAAGTCATGCTCAAGACCTGATGTCCCTTCTCTGTGTCTGCCTTCCAGAATCAAAGGCTGGTGGGTTTTCCATCACTACATCTCCACCTTCCTCTCGGGTGTCATGCTGACGTGGTAAGGCTGTGTCCCCTCATGTCTTGGGTACAGAGATGCCGGCCTGTTAGGCTGTGGCCAGCTCAAAGGTGCCTTTGCTGCCCGAACCCATGGCCACATCCTGCTCTGTGGATGTTGGGGTCTAACGGGCAACTCCACACGTTCCTCACCGGGCCCAAGCACCCTAAACAAAAGCAGCTGTCGGCACCTTTGTGCAGCAGGCAGGGTCCCTGGGCTGGGAAACACCATTCCCTGGGTTGCAGTTCTGGTGGAAGGGCTGGCTCAAAGCCCTGTTTCGTTGGGAGCTGGGGGAGGCAGCGGTGCCCTTACCCAGCTGTGAGGCAGGCAGGGCTGGCAGCGTCCCCTCTCAGCCCCACGTTCCCCAGCCAGCGTTGTCTCTCCGCAGGCCGGATGGTCTCATGTACCAGATGTTCAGGAACCAGTTCCTCTCCTTCTCCATGTACCAGAGTAAGTGCTGCCGTGTGTGCTGGGGCAGGGGCTGGGACCACCGTTGGCCTCGGGGGCTGAGCACACCTGCCTGGCTCTGCAACACACGGAGACGTGGCTGTAGCTGCTCACAGCTCTCGGCTCGCCTGGGTTTTCCCTTGGCCTCTGTCCTGCCCTCCTCCGCCCTGGCACTGGGATGGTCTTTGCATGCAGAGTGGTCTCAGAGCCGATGCTGGGGCCAGGGGATGATGCCTGGGCATCTGCTGACCACACCCGTGCTCCCCTTGCAGGCTTTGTGCAGTTCCTCCAGTACTACTATCAGAGCGGGTGCTTGTACCGGCTGCGAGCGCTGGGCGAGAGGCACAACATGGATCTGACTGTGGGTAAGCTGGGATCTTCCCTTACTGGTCACCCAAGTCCAACTGGACCTGCTGTTGCCACAGGGCCCGTGGCTGCTGGCAGCCTCCCTCCCAGTACCAGACCGGTGCTCAGCTAACGGGGAGCTCTGGTTTCTCTTAAAGACAATGGTGACAGTTATTTTTGTTTTGAGGTCAGTTTGACTGTGGCTTATCAGTGGCAGATACGGTAAAAGCTACAAATAAAGCCAGAGCCCCAAAAGCAGCATCAGCTGTGAGGCAGCAGCACCAGGGAGATACTCTGTCCCGTAGGCTGGACACCCTCCTCCTCCTGCTCTCCTGGGGGCCACCAGCCCGCCGCTGGCTCCCTTGGGATGCAAGATAGC